GAACAGTGAGTAGGAGGGAGGGAGGGGACCTGCATAGCTCAGTCCAAGAGACACAGGGAAGACTGAACAGCAAGGGGTGGAAGCTTCCTGCCCAGGACTGGATGAGACGCTAGGGAACAATCCTGCACTGGCCCTTGGGGGGGGAAAAGGACGGAGTGGGACCTAATCGGGCTTCTCCATCTCTAACGTCTATGGTTCTATGACACACAGGGCCCAGACGGGAGGAGCCGGTGCCAGCGTGCTGCCTGTAGCTCACACTCTTAGTGAGGATACTCAGGGATTTAACATCCTCATGTTGCCAGCGGAGAACTCGATTTACAGGGTTAGGGGACAGCGTGGTTTGGCATGATAATCCACCTGCAGCCCCACACCACCTCCGAGCTGTGACCTTCTCAGATCTCATAAACTAATCAGGATTGGGCCAGGTCAGTGCTTGGATGGGAAACATTCAAGGAAAAAGCAGGGTGCTGCAGGAAGTGGTGCTGGTGATGCTGTAGGTGGGCTCTCCTCAGCCAGAGCTGAACCTAGAACGATCTTGAGGGAGCGCTGAGCTGCTGGAAGTACTCTGTCTTGTGATGTTAGATTGGAGTCCTACCACTTACCCAAAGATCGCTGCAGCTTTGGGGAGTTGCCAACCCCGTGTCCCGGATAACCCCATTCTGCATCTGTGGAGTTCCAGCTGGAGAGGAGATTTTAACTGCCTGTTGCCCCATTTCCTATCATTAACTTAAGCCAGTTGCTTATGGAAGATTGCAAAGTGCTTCGGGGTCCCTCAGGATGGAAGGTGCTCGTAGTGACAGTGACAAGACATCGCTTGGCCCTTGGACATTTGTGTAGTCTCATTCTGCTTGGTCTTTCATAGGCCATGATCTTCTAGGTAATCTGTGTGATCTTGTTCAAATACCTGCAGCTTATGGTGGGACTTCCTTTGGTTCATCAAGCTTCGACAGATACCTACATCACAGGCTCAGGGCTTTGCTGCCCTCCCTGGCAGCAAAAGGCATGAGGTGTGAAACCCTGACTAGGGTGCACCAAGGAGGGGAAACCAAGACAAGAATCTTCCCGTGAGAGACCTCGTCCTCTATCTCCAGACTCTTCCTGGTTCCTCTCCTGACAGCAGTGGACTGAATACAAGAAGGGGGAAGCCTTGGATGTCAGTGCTGCTTAGTCAGCAAAGCAGAGCTGCTCTGCCAGAAGCAGCAGGTTCCCCCAGCAAGGGGACTCCCAACCTGCCCTCCAAGAGCCACCCTCCATAAAAGGCTGTGTGAGGCAACGGCTCAAGTGGCAGCACACTGGAGTGACCTGGATAAGGAACTAACTGTTGGTTTCTACTTTCTGCTGGCACAGGGGTGCCCAGGGGGAGTCTGCTTGATGGGGCACAGACTGTCCTGCTGCCCAGGGGAGGAAGAGGTGTTAAACTTGCTGGCTCCTGTAGCTCATCGAGTGATTCCACAGCCCTAGCCATGCTGCTCCATTTGTCCGCTCCTTTGAAGGCATCTCACTTGTGAGGGACCAGTAACACTGCTTTTGGGACTCAGGCACAGTGAGCAAGCTCTGCCTGCAGAGGGAAGCATGTTTCACACCATTTCTTCTTGGAGCCATGGACCACAAACTGAGAAGTTCCTTCAGCACCACCACCCTCTGAGCTCCCCCTCCGCCACGTCTCTGGAGGTCACCCAGAACTTTGCTGTTTGGCATGTGGGGCACCACCCTTCACCATGCCACAGCTGCCTCCCCATGCACCCTGTGAGGCACAGGGCTTTGAGGGCAGCCAAGGAAAAGCTTGTCAGCAGTGGTGAGCGCTCCACTGAGCTGTGAGAATAAAATGTTTCCCCAGCAGCTGCCATGCTTGGTGAGTGCCAGTGGTGGCACTGGGTCCTCTCTGTGTCCTGGCACACTCATCCCTTGCCAGTTGTGGGATAGGTGTGGACAACCTTGTCCCAGGACTGTGGCATACTGCTAAGCTTGAGGAAGGGTGATGGAGCCAGGGCCTGCCATGTGCTTACACAAGGAGTTTTCCAGCTCAGAATGCTCTATGTGGTATTTTGGGAGGAGCAGCTTGTCAGTGCATGGTGAGGAACAGCTTCTGCCTGGTCCAGCCAGGGTCTCGGGTGGACCTGGTAGCTGTGTCGCCAGCTCACGAGGGACTGTCTGGATTTCAGGCTCATCTTGGGCAGAGCTGCTGACTACCTGCTTCTTCTCTTGCAGCCAGTGGTTGCCTAAAACCATTCATTCCTGTGACCCAGTGGCTGCTGCCAATCCAGTGATCCTGGGAGTGTTTGCTGACGATAAAAGTGGCCATTCATTTGCTGGTAACAGTCTGTGTGATTAGGGATTGAGGAGCTTCTGCCACAAAACTGTGCCCAAAGATTTCCAAGGGGAACTGGCTCTGCATGGGGCCATCTGGCTGGAGAGGAAAGAGGGTCAGAAGTCATGATTGGTGCAGGCAATGCAGCTCCTTCGCAGCTCCTGGCTGGTGTTGGGATGAGAGCAAAGAACAAGATGCAACTTTCCTGGAAGTGTGGACGCATATCACATGGAGCTTTGTGGCAGGAGGATCTTGTTTCCCTTAGCTCTGAATCGTTGGTCTGTGGGACAATCAACTTTTCCTTTGATTCTGCTGTGGCAGAAAAACTGCTCATACTCCATAGTTTGTCTTTTCTCATTCAAGCCATTGATGTCTCCCACCTAGACCTGCTGCCTGTCCGCTTTGGGCTGGTCAGGGGGAGTTCTTGGACCCTTGAGACTGTTTCAGATCCTGTGGCTGAATGCTCAGCTGTAGGCTAAGGAGCTTCCTTCAAATGGAGTTTACCCGTCCCCATGTGGTGGTCAGCAAGTGGACCCTGCTGGGCCTCCACTTGTTCAAGAGCTATCCTGTGTTTCCTCAGGACAGAGGAAATCTGCACGGGGCATATGTCCATTGGGTCTTTCCTGGAGAGCCTATGTGTGTGTAGGAGGTGCAAATGGACCCGACACTCCCTTTGGGTGCTGAGACCTGCTATTGTCCTTGCAGGTTTCTCCATGCATGGCCCACGGTTAGTCATTGCTGTAGAAGGCAGTTCTTTTTCCCAGCCACGTGGGTAACCAGGGCTCACTGGAGACTTGGATGAAGCTGCTCTTTTAGCTCATCAGCCTTTGAGATGTGTGCAGGTTCTCTGCAGAGCAAGTGAGCTTGAATTATCATCCAAGCCAGGATGATACTGTCACCACCTGAGACTAGTGTCCACCACATGTGCTTCTTCCCTGCAGGTGATCCCCTCTTTCCTTAGGGGAAATCCACTGCATCCCTTGGGCTGGGGCGAAGCTGTCTCTCTGCTTTCTGGGATATCTCATAACGCTACTGCTAGCTCTGTCACTTTCTTCCTAGGGATCTCGAAGCACTTTGCCAAGATCTTTGTAGCGGGGAGATGGAGGCACAGGGAGGGGCCATGGCTCGGTACAGCAAGCCAATAGGCAGAGCTGGGAATAGAGCCCTGGATTCTCTCTACAAGGGGCTGGGATTTCTCCTGACCTGTTGTGATGGGGATGGGGTGGACTGCAAGGGAGCCCAAAATGACATGGGAATAACTTGATTTTGGAGTTGTAGTGTCTTCTGAGCTGCTAGGGCTAGAAATTGTGGAGACATTAACTGTACCTGGAGTGACCAGGAACAGTTTCTGGGGAGCCTGTCCCTGTGCTCTGGCTGCTGCCACCTTCAGTCCCAGCAGTGGGACCTGTTGGCCCAGGAGCTCTTGAACTTAGAGCTGTTGCTTTCTCTTACAGGTCAGACTTCAGAGCCAAAGCCACCTGCTCCTTCCCCACAGAAGGCAGAGACTAACACGGTAAGGACCATTGGAGGTAGGAGTTTGCAAAATAGCACAAAAGGGCTGTCCCCAAAGAGAGGGGACAGATCTGCCATTTCTCAGGGAGATTTCATTCTTCTACAACCAGTGTGTTTTAAGGTGGCTGAGTAGTGGGAGCTGGTAAGAGCTGCTGGGGAGGACAGCATCAGCATATCTCCTCCAAGGAGGAAGAATAACCATTCCCTGGGTATTGATGATTGATAGGTTCACGATCAGCCTGCCACTGTGCTCCCCTGTGCCTGGGGACAGTCACAGTCCCACTGTGTTCGCCACTGCCCTGTGGCACGGGAGCAACCAGGTTCCCTGCTGGCAGCTGCAGAGGTGCACTACAGCCTCGCTGCCTGCCAGGAGCAGCTTGGCAGTCCTTCTCCAGGTCTGTGTGTGCAGGGCGCTGCCAGACTCCAGGAGGTGCTTTGGGAGTCCTTCCAGCTGTAGCTGTGGTTGGGAAGAGGTGGTGCTGCCCCAGGTAGACACCAACCTCCTGCTTTCTGCGTTTCCTCAGCTCTCAGCAAAGGCCTCCTCAGCCCAGATGTCTCCAGCTGCACCACCACCCCCCGCCCCTGTGCTTCCAGCCACCCCTCGGAAAAACAAAGCTGCCATGTGTAAACCACTGATGCAGAACCGGGGCGTTTCCTGCAAGATAGAAATGAAGTCCAAAGGATGTCAAACAGGTAGGAAAACAAGGCATAACGGCAGGATTACAGGGGCTTTTTGGAAAGGCCAGTGCCACGTCCCTGCTCCAGACTAAATGTGAATCCAGCTTGGAATGCTGTACAGAGTGGCTGGGTGGTTGGCACCATGCTGAAGAGTCTCAGGACACTGCAGGGCACATGCAGCAGGGCTGGAGGTAGGAAGCTCATTTGCATCAGCAGCAAAAGGAGAGACACAGAGAGCACTGCAGCATGATCCCACCTCTTGTGGGACAACACTTCCTTTGGAGATTGTCCGCTTGTCTGAGGGGCTATCTGCTGAGCAGGTTCCACTGTGTGGCTCCTGTTGGGCATGTGAGTGCACTGCCATCTCTTTTATAAAAGCGGGTAGTGGTAGGACAAGGGCAATGGCTTTAACCTGCCAGAGGGGGGATTGAGATGAGCTCTGAGGCAGAAGTTCTG